TGCGTCATGCCCCGGCCCCATCAGATCACGGACCGGCAGCGGCGACGACGAGACGGCGGGACAGAGGTACGGGGGGTGGGGAGGCCGCACACCCGCAGCTGTTGCAAGCGATCGGACGCCTGATCGCTTGTATGTAAACAGCCATCGCTGGCTGTTTATATGCTTACAGTTCCCCCTCTCGTGTGCAGGACGTCTTAAGACGCCCTCCCGCTCCTAGCAGACGTCCGTCCGGCTGTTCACAAACGGCCATGGACGGAAGGTGGTTAAAGTAGTATTAAACTCTCCAACATTTTTTTCAATAATTAATCCAGATCAAACACATACATTGCCCGGAGATGTATTTCTTTACATTTTTGACCAAGCACTTACAGTCATCATGTTTCTGAACAGCTGACTCCAAGTCTCTCAGTTCAGCTTCCCTGAACTTCCTGTCCAGTACAAGATCACAAGACACAACACTATTTCCAGCAACTGTTCATCTATTAGTTTGTAGAAGGGTGGAGGAAGGAGAGGGGAGGGAAGTAGCTTGATTTGCTGTGCCTGTGTTTGTGGAGACACACACAGCTTACTAAAAACAGGTTGGCTCCATGCTTAAGACCCCGTTCACATATAGCGACATACCTTGTCAGCGGCCGGGATAGCGAGACTTTCCGGGCGACGTTCCAGCGACGGTAGCGCGACCTTCTCCGTCGGGCTCCATAGGAAAAAAGCAAAATCGCGCAAAATCCGCCGAAAAAAGGGTCCGGTAGAAGCGACCTGCGACCGCGACGCGCGACATGGAGTTAAGACAGCTCCATTGAATAGCATTGGCCGGCGACTTCTCGCAATATCGCGCGGCAAAAATGCGCGATATCGCGGCGACAATTCGCTATATGTGAACGGGGCCTGAGAATGGAGCCAACCTAAAACAGGAAGTCAGGACCAGTGCTCAGGGGACCAGCTGATTCTGCAGAAAAGTAAAAAGCTTTTCAACATCAAGAAGCAGCATCCATAATAAGTGATTTCATGAGCATTTGGAATAGCTTAAAACTTTATATATGCATGAGAGCCCTTACTGTGTGTTTGTGTGGGCAGGGGGTCTTAATTTTTCAAGCGTGAGCAGGTTCAGTCAAGTGAATTCATTGAAGTATCCGGAAATCCTACGAGAAAACGTCATGCCATCTGTAAGGAAGCTGAAGCTTGGGCATCATTGGACCTTCCAACAGGACAGTGATCCCCAGCAGACCTCAAATTCCACCAAGGCTTGGTTGCAGAAGAAGTCCTGGAAGATTCTACAGTGTCCATTGCAGTCACTTAAAACCCCATTGAAACGTTCTGGTGGGATTTGAAGAAGGTGGTTGCAGGACGAAAATCCAAAACTATTACTGAACTGGAGGCCATTGCTCATGAAGAACGGGGTAAGATTCTTCAGGAACGCTGCCAGAAGCTGGTGTTTGGCTTTGCATCGCGTTTGCAGCAGGTCACAATAGCAAAAAGGTGCTCTACTAAGTACTAAAGATGCTTGCCATGAATGAGTTGAATCATTTTGAGACTGCAGAAGTCATTAATAGTTGCATTTTCAGTTGAATTTGGAGAAACCACTTGAAACATTTGTTGTGTTGACCTATTTCAATTGCTTTTGTTCGATTTGTTCAATGCAAACATCTGAAAGTCTGTACAGTTTGGCAAAAAAACTGATTTGCATTGTAATTTTTTGTAAATGTTTTCCCATTAAAAGTTAAAATGATAAAACTAGCGTTTGCAGCAATATTCAGCTTCATTCTAGAGATCTGCCCTGCAGTTCTTTTTTCTGCCACTAGATGTCCTCAGTCTGATGGCTAACATCATTTAACCCACTTGCTCTAAGGCCAGGTCATCCCATACCCGCTGGTACGATTTGAATCAAATATAGGTACTTACACTGGTTTCACTCAAAAAATCAATTAAAAAATGTATTAATGATTATAGTGCTTCATTGCTTTTTGCCTTTTATATCCGCCTAGAATTGCACTCCAAGCATCCCAAGTATGCTGGGGACTCCTCCCACTGCACCCATAAAACTGGCTGACAAAACAGCAAGTTAGTCTGAGCATTGGCCTAACTTGGGTTCACATACACAGGCTCTTTAGTCTATGAACTTGCTTCATTCAAGCCATGTTTTGCTGAAACTAAAAGAAATCCAGCCAAGTGCTGCATGCAGGTTTCAATGACATACAAGGAAAGTAATCAGCAGTGGATGAGACACTTAGGCCTGGTTCACACCTAGGCGTATTGCATATGCGCGTCTGTCGCACGTTTTTTTTAACTGCGATTCGCGGTTAAAAAATTTGCGCGACACACGCGCGTTTCTGAGGGCTACTTGGCTGTTTCCCAATGGAAACGCGCAACAAAAACGGCCCAAAGTAGTACATGTACCTTTTCAGGCGTGGGCCGTTTTGTAGCACGTTAGGGACAGGCTGAAATACGGCAAGGTGTGAACCAGAACCATTGAAAACAATGGGATTTTCATGTTTGAGCGTTTTGTGGAGCGTTCGTCGAGCGTAGAACGCGCTACAAAACGTTCAGGTGTGAACGAGGGCTTAATTGTGTGCTGAAGGCGATATGTCAATATAGCTTATCTTGTTGTAAAGCCTTCCATACCGTCTTCTATAAATATTGGAGGGCAGTGTCCAGTGCTTTAAAAAGACACAAAAAGAAAGCTGCTCCTACCTCCTCTTATACAACTACCATCATAGAAACCTGGTGGATAGTGAACACTCTGCTCAGTCTGTATTCCAAATAGAAGTAAAAATCAGACACTCGAGAGGGTTAAGCTTTAATTTATAAAAGGCATAAAAACAGCAAGTGGAAAGTGACGCATTTGAGCCCCATCCAGGTGCCTTTATAATAGCATCTATGCTACGATTAGGGCTCCTGGAGAGGGCCGAAATACTTCAGTTGTTTCCACTTGCCGTTTTTAGGTCATCTTTGAATGAAAGTTTATATTTGGATCCATCCCTTCCCGAGTGTCAGTTTTCTACTTATATTTGTCTAGTGCTTTACTTGAGTTCAATAACTATCCTATAGATCCCAAAAGTGGGTCGCGACCCCATGTCCAGTGCGTCGCCACATGCCTTCCACTTTTCTAGGTGAAAGGATCCTCAGCCTCCCCCTAGAGAAGCACTGTCAGTCCTCGCACCGAGCAGCCATTCCAAAATATGGTGCCCAGTGCCGACTTGAGGTGGGATGAGGTGGGGCTATGGCCACGAGGGAGCTCCATCCATACATGCATTGCTTACAGCTCATCAAATTCTGGCTCCCGCCACCTCTACGGGCGCGCACAGGAGCTTTACAACCAAAACACATATGGATGGAGCTCCATCACGGCACAGCAGACCACACTGGACCCCAGGTTGAGCATCCACTCCAATTTCCGTAATGGCAACCCAAACGCACCTCCCACCCAGAGTTCGATTGCCTGCACCGGAAAGTGCAGTACCGCAACAAGGAACATTGCAGTGCAACTTGGGTCGCTAGTTAATGACCGAGGACAAATGTGGGTCCCGAGGTTACACAGGTTGAGAACCACTGCTATAGATCAAGTCAGCGTTCTTTGAACTGAACTCTACCACTGCAGGTTTTCAGAAGCGAGTATAGATGGGTACTTCTTGATGTAGTAAAGTTTGTTTAAATTTCAGGAGCAGTGGAAACACCATATTATCCCCATTTTTTATGGATTCCCCCATTCCAGTGACATAAAAGGAATGAGTAGACCTCCAACACAGCAGCAGAGCTTGATAAAAAAAAAAAAAACCATAAAAGCAGCACAGTGCTCTTTCTTTTTAAGCATATTAACCGGCAGTACATGGTGCAGAATCTAACTGGCTCCTAGTGATTGTCCTCCAAAGCTAAGTGACACACAGGCAATTGCATGAGGCTGATAGCAAGAAACTCAGGTACTTTTTAAAAACTTTCTTGGATTTTACATTATAGGCGAGGTGGGAGGGACAAAAGAGGAGCAGAGAACAGGGGAGTGATGTACCCTGCTGGGTCTGTGTGTTTGTGGAGACGCACATAGTTTACTAGCACATACAAGAATGGACCCATGGGACCGTGCAAGGGAAAGGAGTCACCCTAAAAAAGGATATCAGGAACAGTGCTCAGGGGACCAGCTGATTCTGCAGGAAACCAAGAAGCAGCATCCATTGTAAGTGATTTAATCAGCATTTGAAATAGCTTAAAAAGCTTTTTACTTTAATATCATTTTAAGATCATGTAAATAGACAAACAAAAACCAGCATTCAAGAAACAAGAAAATTAAAGAGCGTCCAGTCAGCTAACGAAGCAAAGTAAATGTTCTAATTTCATGTTTAGATAACACTGAAATATTTCCCTTGCAGAGAACAGGGTGCCTATCGTCTTAGAGATAAAAGGCAGATTGTACATGCTTTAAGCTAGTTTAATTTAAAACAAGGCTGCAGCAATGATTCATAAGCCAGTTCTGCAATATCAGTTCAAGGTCACTTAGCGATTTAGGGATTGTGACAATGAGTTCTCTGTCATTTTAGTGACTCGTTAACTCCTAACAATTTGGTTATTTAAGATTTCAACACACGGGATGAAACTGAACCATAAAACACGATCCTGTTACAGAGAATGGAATCTATATGCACTAATCCCATCAAGCTGTATCCTTCTCACATCAGTGTATGCACATTCAACTGCAATCGACGCAGAGGATGGAACAAGGTGGGCGATTTTCTAGTTACTGTCACAAAGATGCTCATGGATAAAATGTGTTTAGAAGAAGTGAGGTTGTGTTGCCCATGGCAAGAAACTGATTACAAGACGTAACAGATTTTTCCTTCCAGAAGCTTATTAGCGTACTAAAATAAAAAATAAATTAAAAAAAACAACATTTTGTGTAAACACTTTACTAGGGGTCAGGATTAAATGCTTGGCCTCACTCGGGTCACAAGCAAAATATTTTTCACTATTATCAATTTTATTGTATCATTCCCACCTATGTAGGCTTTTAAAAACTGCTTAATGCATTGTGTGTTTTTGGATTGTAGAAGCTACAACAAAACATATTTGTGAACTTTTGATCTCTGGTATCTTCAAAAACAACACACCAAAGGGGAAGGTGAAAGATCTAAAAAGGTGGATGTGGTGGTAATGCTCCCCTGCACAAGGTGACAGAACCATGGCTTATTTAAAGGAGAACTATGAGGCGAGTGATTTGCACTCAACCTCATAGTTCGAGCCGACGTGTGACAATGAAACTGTCACACGTTGGCTCAATAGATCGGGAAGTGAGCGAACACATACCGTCGCTCACTCGCTTCTCGATCATGTCCCTGCAGAGAGCCGTGAGTGACCGTCACTGCTCTCTGCAGGGACATGATTCCCCACCTCCCCGCTCCGATCCTAGAGCGCTGATTGGAGGAACGAATGGGGGAGGGGGCGGGTACAGCTGGCTCTGCCTCTAGATAGGCAGCGCCAGCTGTCAATCACGCAGCTAGGTGGATCTCGACAGTTATGTCGGGATCCGCCCCGGCTGTGGCGGTCTAAGCAAGCTGTAGCTCGCGATATACTGAGCTTTGGGCCACAGGAGGACGCTAGTTTATGTCCTCCCGTGACCCTTAGGAGAACTATGGGGGAAAACACTTTCCCCATAGTTCTCCTTTAATACACAATAACTTATTTTGGGTAGTTCTTTCTATTATAAAGTTGGTAGTCAGCTGGGTTATATTTCGAATGAACGCCAACATTTATTGCAGGCTATGCGTTAGCTGCTTGGTCTTTATTACTGTATGTATATTCTGCCAATAGTACTCCTTTGGACCTAAACGTTTGGTCTTGTAAGTAAATGTGGGTTGCTGGAATGAAAATGCCAGCCTGATTAATTTGAATGAAAGAAAGAGAAGGTGGTTGCCAACCAGGCATTCTGAATATCCTAAATTAGCCATAGAGGTTTCATTTTTGCTCATGTTCAGCCTATGGGCTGAACGAGAGAAAATCAATCAATTTCCCCGTCCACGTTAAACAGTGTGGATGGGAGAATATCCACTGACAGCTATTGTATTCAGGTAGCTGCAGCACGCGCAGCTGCCTGAATCCTAAACAGTGACTGCTATTATGACAGTTTTGATATGGCATCCCATGGCTCAAAGTTTAGGCAATTCAGCAGGAATCAGTTAACATTTCGAGCTCTGTATGGCCAGCTTAAGAAACCACACCACAATTTCTGTAATGGATTGCTGGCTGGTACATAAAAATGTGATCTTGAAACAAAGGATGAACACTCTCCAGCTGCTACTGTGCTCTCACCTTCTGTATGAAGCTCTCCACTTTGTTCTGCAGGCCCCACCATTTGAATTTGATAGTCACCAGTTTATAACAACACATGTGAGGAATGTCCTTCCGCTGTCCCAATGTTTTCTACAAGCAGCACAAACAAAAAAGCAAAAGGGTCAACTGGGACTTTCACTGGCTGCAAGTAAATTGCAATAATGACGAATACTGATGCTGAAGTGACCAACCAGACCATTTTCTTGCATGTAGTGGGTTAAATCATAAAAATCTAACTTTTTTAGGATTTTTTAACATTCGTCTAGTTTTCAGAAAGAACCTGCAACATTCAGAGCATAAACCACACTGCTGCCTAAAAAAATTACAAAACAAATACAACAAAAAGGCTAACTTTTTAGTATTTAGTACAACAATCAAAGTTGTACCTATTCATACATCTTTCGGCCATGCACCACTCATAAAGCATACAGCCGTTACAAACTGGCACCCTACCGAACAGCCGCTCAAAGCTCCATGGGTTTATGTCATTGTATGGCATGCTCTTATGAACTTACTATAAGAAAATAGACAAAATTACCTTCCAATCAGGAGCAAGTGGTCCTCGACCTGTCTTGATAGACTTAAATTTAGATGGATCCTCTTCTGGTTTATAATCCTGAAATTATTTTGATCAGTTAATGCATAAATGAGAGAAGGCACATTAAACAAGTTCTTTTAACAAACTTAATTTCAAAGTATGTTACAGCCTAATAGCAGAATTGTTTTGCACCACACATTCTATATCAGCAAGAATAACTAATGTAAAAAAAAAAAAATACATTTACAAAGATGCTTATTTACATTTTGAAATGTGTAAAATATAACAATAAAATTGTAGTTATTATAACGGTATAATTAAACCAAAGACAATTTTAAAATAGCAGTCCTGCTTAATACTTTTATGCAGTAACACACCGTAGGCAACTTGTCAATGTTTACAATACCTTGGCAGACTAAAGGGGCCCATAGACAACGGTCAGTCATAACATTATGACCACCAGTCTAATGTTGAGTAGGTTCCGCCTTTGCCACTAAAACAGCCCTGACCCTTCAAGGCATGGACTCTACTAGACCTCTAAGGGTATGTTATGGTATCTGTAAGTTGCGAGGTGGGGCCTCTTTAGCTCCCCATGTGCATCAACGAACCTTGGCCACCCATAACTCTGTCGCCGGTTCACCGGTTTTCCTTCTTTGGACCACTTTTGGCAGGTCGTTACCACGGCAGACTGGAAATATCCCACAAGAGCTACAGTTTTGGAGATGCACTGATCCAGTCTGCCGTAACAATTTGCTCCTTGTCAACGTCGCTCAAATCCTTACGCTTGCCCATTTTTTCTGCTTTCAACACATCAACCTCAGGTACAAAATGTTCACTTGCTGCCTAACATATCCCACCCACTTTCAGAAACTTATATAAACAAGTTAATCAATGTTATTTACTACACCTCTCAGTGGACCTATTGTTATAGTTGACAGGTGTAAATGATCCAGTCAAAAACTACATCTATGAGCTACCTGCAGATGGCACTGACTGAGCTTCATCACCGGATTAAAAACCTTGCCTGATCACTAGTGTTCCCCCTAAACGGTCAACACTGGAGGTAACTACAGCCCTCCCTAGTCTTTCTTCTTAGGCCAAACAAACTGTCTCCATTAATGCCCCTTAATGTTCAGGGAAGGGCTGGCCTGAACACTCGTCTGGGGGAGATGAGATTGTGCCTACATGTTTTTTTTGTCTATGGCCAGTTTTATTCCGTAACTTAAGTCATTTTTCCATTACATCTGGATGCCCAATAATTTGGGGTTTTAAGTACAGATGGAACACAAAGGATTTCAGGAAGGGTCCATTTTTAAATTACTTCTGTGATCAGGAGCAGTCTCGCTTACGCATAAATAAGAGCATACACAAGAGCCTTGGGGTCCAATTCACAGGCAGTTTCTTATATACAAGACTACAACTGAGCTCCTGCTACCAGGATACACATAAGCCCTTTTGTTTAGCAGGGACCAGAAAAACCACCTGGGTAGCATAAAACATGAGGGCCGTTTTATGCATGAAGCAAAGGAGTGTTCAGATCACATAATGTACAAAATATTTCAAATATTTGTATAAATTGAGGAACATTAAAATACAATATACAACTGATTTTTCAATAAAAAGAGTACAGGCAGAAACAAAGTAATAGTCTGCACAAAATTTGGCAGGAGATTAATCAATGTCACAAACTGGTGTTAATGCTTAGTACTGGCTGATCCAACTTTTTGAGAACATTTATTTTTTTCCCTATTGGCACAATGGAACAGGGCCGAACAAATACTATTATGGATTAATCTCTTTTTTTTTTTAAATTGCAGAAATGCCACATACCAACCTTAGAGTGAATCTGGCTTCGATCTGCAATGTCAATATGTACTATTTCCACATTCTTCCAAACATCTGGCTCTAACTTATGAACCTGCAGAGAAACAGGGAACATTATTAACATGAAATATGCAGAACCATGTCAATAACCTAAGAATTCCCTGCCATCCTAAGCCTTTAATCTGATCCAAGTACAGTCTCTAAATGAGTCACAAAATTAATATCAGTTGTGTACCTTCCATTTTAAATGTCTTTAAGTGTACTACTAAATTTCTTGCTACCTCCTATGATCCATGGCTTCTATGCAGCTTCTTTGGACTCCCTTCCCTTAGGCTCCATTTACACTTTGGGCTGCGCATGTTAAAAATGTGCAATGTGCTTGCGGTACCATTACCAGCTAATGACACCCCAAACGTGGCAGGTAAAATGTGCATTTTTGTTCATGCGGTCACATGCATCGATACTAGTATCGGTGCCAATGCCGAGTATTTGGGCGAGTACTTATACTCGCCCAAATGCTCCAATGCCTAGCCTGATACTTGAGCTTCCAGTATCAGTAAGCCGGGCAGTGAGTCATTACAAGCTGTGTAACAGCTTGCAGCTCAAAATGCTGCATGAGCTTTTTAGCCGTGTTTGTCGCATATGTGGCAGCCCACTAAAATGCCAAAATGCGCACACGCGCACCGTGGGTGTGTGCAAAATGTGAACGGGGCCTAAGGAAAATCCCAGGCACCCACACATATATTTTTCATATATGAAGCTGCACTCCAGATGGTACCAGACCTTGAAATAATAAGCGAGTGCTCAAAGTGATAGTGTTGGATGGCGTCGCTCCAAAACTATAATTAAGAGATGCGAACTCACCAGCACTTCAGACATGTGAAGAACAGTGTCGCAGATATTTGTGACAAAGTTTCAAGGCCTTACAACGTCCCTTTCTCAAGGCAACAGAATGACAGAGGCAACTCTATGATGCCTTGAGAAAGGGACCCTGCAAGGTCCCAAAAGTTTGATATACAGGTCTGTGATGATGCTCTTCACAATAAATTTGTGAGATGTCTGGAGTGCTGGTGACTTTACATCACTTCACACTGTTCTGAAGTCATAAAATAGCCAACAAGTAAAACAAATAGAAACACAATTGAAAAAAATTAAATAAATCGCAACAGCTGCAGGAAATAACGTTTCTGGACTGACAATGGCACAGTGCTATGAACAAAAACCACAAGTAAGTTGATTCTGGGCTGCCATAGGTATCCATCCTCCTGTCAGGCGTTATGCAATGAAACACCTAAATGAATAAGGCCCAGTCAACTTAGAACAAAAATATACAAAACTATATATTACATATCTGATAAACTTGTGGCTGAAGGAGTCAGGGCTAGGTGTTATGATTGGGTTTAGGCTAACAGTTAGAAGCAGGGATTTTTGTTTTGGATAGAGTAGGCAATAGTTAAAGTTTCTGTCCAGTTGTTTTTTATTTTTCTGAGGAACTTTTCCTTCACTTCCTGTCATTAAGACAGGAAGTGAGAGGAGATCTCTCCAAAGTTAAGGAAATCCCCTTCTTTTAATACAGTTGTCGCTGGAGTACCCATTGGAAGAGTTCCCTTACATGTCTTTCCAGTTACCCACAGAAGAGTAGAGCTGTAGTAACAAAAAGTAGGTTTATCCCATTGCTAATCTGTCTTACTTCTGGTAATTAAAGGTACAACAGCACCACCTAGAGCAATTGCAGGAAGATTTTGATCTTCTATAGCCCTGGTACCCAACCTGCAGCCATTAATTGTGTGACCCACAGGGAATGGACGGCATTGTGGTACTACACGTGCAGGTGATCGCACTGCAGACAGGAGGAGCATTTGTGGTGCCAATGAATGAAGCCGCAACACATCCAGCACCAGTAGTTCTCCTCACCGCTGGGCACCGGCCGCAAGGGTCTGTCCCCCCTCTGATCCCCCCTGGGAGCAGCGGGGACTTGGGGGAGCTCAAGTAAACTGATTCGTAAATGCTCTGTTTTTGCCCTAATGTTACAAGTGTGCCCTTCTCC